AGGCGGGCGCGGCCCTGGACTTGAGCCAGCCGGGGAGCGGCGCGAAGGGAGGCCGGGGCATCGGGCGCACCAGGCTCCCCTTCCGCGGTGCGAGCTCGCTCCCGCGCGGCTCCAGCACGGAGGCGGAAGCAGCGCCTGCTCTGAGCTAAGAGCAGCGCCTGGACGCGCAGCCCGCCGCAGCAGGGAGCATGGCTCAGGGCTGCCCTGGTGCTGAAGCCTTGGCGCTACAAGCTGCTCTTGCAAGCTGCGTGCGCTGCTGGGGCACCCAGCTGCTGCGGTGCCCGGAGTCGCTTCCTGTAACTGAAGCGCTGGGGCTGAGGTGCTTGCGCGAGCACAGCTCGCCAGCCCTGCTGCTCCCATTGCCTGGCAAGGGCTTGGCACGAGGCGCCTGCGTGCCGTATTGGCTTGTGCTTCAGCAGACTCACGCCACAAACGAAGGCTGATATCTTCCTGCCAGCTTCTTAATACAAGCGCTGGTATATCTGCTTCTTGCTGAGAAGCTTCTCGCTTTGAATATGCTGGATGCTGGCCCCTTCCTGCTCCGCACAGGTTAGGCCTGTTTTGTGCTGGCTAGGATCAGGTCGTGTCTCTACTTGCATCCGTCTGCAAGGCTGCCCCCACCCCAGGCCCCTCAGGGCAGAGAGGGGCTGGGTTATGGCTAAGGCAGCCTTGATGGGGAGAGCAGCACATTGGCTTTGCAGGGTTGCCGCAGCCAAGGCTACATTCTTCAACATCGTGTCCTCTCAGTACCTCTAGAGCTGTTGCAGATTACAGCCCACAGAACCAGGCTGCGGCGCAGAGAGAGTTGGGCATGATGCTAATGCCAACAAGAAGCAGTACTCTGCTTCAGGGATGTATGGGCAACAGAGTACCTTGGCCCACCACTGTGTGGTTTCAACTTAAAGCAGAGGAGATAACTTTAGGTGTCAAAGTGCGCCTGCAGAAAGGCGTGTACTGAGCCTGGCTTTGAGTGCAGCAGAAAGGAGACTGCCAAGCTCTGCGGTGCCTAGAAGAACTAAAATGGCTTCTCCTGACTGAATCTAATATGGATGGTCATTTAGCGTTCTGCTTATGCTGCTAGAGTGCCCTCAGCTATCAACACTTCTCGGCAGCACTTGAAGGCAAGCTCAAGCAAGCTTACTTGAAAAATGGATTGGTACCAAAATTTTATTCATAATTTTAAGCAGGCTGCTGGATACAGGCAGTACTGCCAGATAGCTTGGGGGCTGCAATTTGTATTCATGTTCTTGCCTTCCTGTAGTAAGACTCACTTGCTTTATACAAACATTACAGTGTTAGTGAAAGCTCCAATGTGTGGAGAAGTTACATTCTGCTTTCCTTTCAGCAGTGCAACATGTCTCTCAAGGATCACCTCGTCCACAATGTGCACAAAGTGGAGCATCCTCATGCTCACAACAAGATCACCGTGGTTGGAGTGGGTGCTGTGGGCATGGCCTGTGCCATCAGCATTCTGATGAGGGTAAGTCTCAAGCTTCAGATAAAGCAGCACAATGGGGACTAGCTGAGGCCTGAAAGAAGTACAGAATAGGTAGGTAGTAAGAAGTAATCTCCCCTCTAAGACTAATTGGGCTAGTGCACAAGGCATGCCTTTTGGTTGTACATTCCCCTTCCTTGGGTCTGAAATGAAGCAGCAAACTTTAAGCTAGTTCTTTCTGTAAGCATGTTTACACGACATCAGACAATATACTCTGTATATTTTGACTTAGGAATTGCATTTACCATCAAATGTCTTATAAATTCCCTCCCAAGCAGGTAAATGGAAGCCTTTAACATTCCAAACATATATAAAAAAGGTCTGGAATGAAGAAGGGCATTTTGCTGGAGACTGACTCATGGAATAGTTTATTATAGAGTGAGCTGAAAAAAAAGTGGTCTTAAATACTTTGAGTGACTTGTCCTCTGTATTGAATTATACTGAAAATGCAGTGGCTACACCGAGCTGTCTTTCCTTTACTCCAAAATTGATTTTGTGGGAGTAGCTGTTCAGTTACTCTTCATCATTTTGGTGTGTTGGATTAAGACTCTTGCACATAGAATGTGGATATGAAAACAGTACAAAACTAGCTCAATAGAGTGAATATCTCAGAAGAGTAATTTAAGTTACTAGGGAAAAAAGTGATCCAGGTTAGCTAAATTACTTTAAAAAAGTAATGTATTTAAGTAACATTAAAAAAATGGAATAGTGAGGATAGAAAGGTAATAGACAGACTTACTCTTTAATCCTGATTTCTTGTAGGATTTGGCTGATGAACTTGCCCTGGTTGATGTTGTAGAAGACAAGCTCAAAGGAGAGATGCTGGATCTCCAGCATGGCAGCCTCTTCCTCAGAACACCCAAGATCGTTTCTGGCAAAGGCAAGTAGCTATATCGAGCACTTCCAAACAGAGGCAACTGCTTCAGATATCAGACTGCTCATCTCTAGCACGTACTCTGTCCTCCTAATCCTAAAGGGGAAAGCTCTTTTAATTTCTGTTTCTGGAGAAATAGTAGTCAGCTGACATTGTATTGTATGCTAAAACTCACTAGCTGGGTACTGCTCTGTCTTGGAGTTGGACACTCAGTACTAGAAAGCTTCTGCAATCCTAAAGTATTTCTGAATCTATGACGGTTTTACCACAGTTAGCCCTGAATGGGCTGCTGCTCACCTGCTGGCTACAAATATCTGACTGCTTTAAGCTTAGTGGCAACTTAACTGGGGCAAACTCCTCAGTTACTGTGTGAGCTCTGTGTCCATAGGTAGCAGGTTATGACAGCACAGCCCCTCATATCCTCTGGCTTCTATGCAGCACTTAACACACTGTATGGCATCCCTCTACACACCCCTATGCAGCTCCATACCTGAGAAGCATGCTGTGCCACTGCCTGTCTACCCATTTGCACTGTAACATGCCCCTAAGTTTGCCACTTGTGGCAATGGACAATGGAACACTCTCGTCCTTAACGTCCTATGGAAGCTAAGTCTAGGGTCAGCACTCTGACATGAGAAGATGCCGTATCACTATTAAGAAAAACAGAACTCCTGGTCTGAACCATGTTTAGAAAGAGCTCATTTGACACATAACCTTTTGTCTGCAGATTACAGTGTGACTGCCCACTCTAAGCTGGTCATCGTCACTGCTGGTGCTCGCCAGCAAGAAGGAGAGAGCCGCCTTAACCTGGTCCAGCGCAATGTGAATATCTTCAAGTTCATCATTCCCAACGTTGTTAAATACAGTCCTGACTGCAAGCTGCTTATTGTCTCCAACCCAGGTTTGTCCTGCACTGCCTACTAGAACACCTTGGCTTAGACAAGCGTTTTCCCCAGCAAGGTGCTGGTAACATATTAACAGGACCAAGCATAGGCTTATAGAAAATGCTTGTGTCAAATACACACATGGCAAGATGTATCACCTTCCTCCTCCCCACTCAAAAAAAATATTTCTCTGAGAAAGAGCAGAACTTTTCGTTAGAGACAACTGTTATCTTCCCTGTTCTCCTCACAGTGGATATCTTGACCTACGTGGCCTGGAAGATCAGTGGCTTTCCCAAGCACCGCGTTATTGGTAGTGGCTGCAATCTGGATTCTGCCCGCTTCCGCTACCTCATGGGAGAAAGGCTGGGCATCCATTGCCTGAGCTGCCATGGATGGATTGTCGGAGAGCACGGAGACTCTAGTGGTAAGTGTAAATTTTGTCCATCTCTTGCTGTACATGGTTTGCAAGAAGCATCCCTTGCAAAACCTTTAGCAAAGAAAATGCTCAAAAAACCCCATCTTTTCACTGCAGCAACTTAATGCAAGCCTGACTTTAACTCTTCTGCAGCATACAGTAACCCTAGATGTTCTATATTTGACTTGAGTTATTCTGCTCGGAAAAGGTCATTAGTGAAACCTAAGGAGGCCAACATTTTCTAGGGCTAGGTTGTCCCCATAACTCCCCTGCTCCAATCCTCCCACCATGAAAAAAAAAAGGAGCAGGAGGGTGAAGTTCTCTGCAAGTGACTCTCAGAGATCTGAACTAGATCTACTGGTAGTCACTGAGTTGTCTTCACTGGCATCTCTCATTTTACTCCAAGAACTATATTTAGGAATAGAAGTGCAGGGTCAAGTCTAGACAAGGAGGGGAGAAGGCGCAAGTTTCCCCTAATTTAACCTGCACTCCTCCTAGCAGCAGCCAAGCAGCACCACCTGCTTCCAGGCACCCAAGAGGACTCTTCAAAATCCATCCTCCGTAGAGAAGCCTTTGCAAAATACAGAGTTGCTGCCATATTAGTTCAACTTCAGTAAAGTACAACACCTAGACAAGATATTTTCAAATCCGGTAACATCATGTATAAAGGAAGATGCCTGTTTGCTCCTAGATTATTATCCCATCATTTGATTTAGGCTCACAGGCCATACTACATCTAGAGACACACCTAAAACAGTCACACTTGTATCTAGTTCAATTTGTCATATGTTGCCCATTAGTTTGGGGAAGATAGGAGTGAGATTTTTCTTGTGGCTGGGGAGATTCTTGACTTTGAGATGACTAATCTTTGTGCAACTCTAAGTACCTGTCTGGAGCGGAGTGAACGTTGCTGGTGTCTCCCTGAAGGCTCTTCATCCCGACATGGGAACTGATGCAGACAAGGAACACTGGAAGGAGGTCCATAAGCAGGTGGTGGACAGGTAAATAACTTTCCCCAAACTATAACATCACTAAGATGCAATATTCTCATTTTTTGTAAACACTCACCATACCAGTGAATATGAAAACACAGAAATAAGACAGCTTGAAGTAGTGTTTTAAGTAATAAGCATTAAGTAGTAATGAAGTAATAACATAAAATTCGGCAGAAATAAATTTTCCAATTTAGTGAATTTAAAGTTGGGGAAATGCTTTAACTGCAACCATACGGTAATCCTGGGGAGAATAGTGGATAGGATTTTTCACAGGTCTATGTTTTATTTCAGTCCTGTCAGCAAGTCAGTGAAACTTCTGGTGTTTCCAGATCCACTTGGGCATTTCCAAAAATGCTTTCATTAAAACTCTTAACACAGTCCAGTGGATGCTCTCTGTTTTTTCAGTAAGTAACTTTGTCTCTGCAGTGCCTATGAGGTTATCAAACTGAAGGGATACACATCATGGGCGATTGGCCTTTCTGTGGCAGATCTAGCTGAAACTATTATGAAGAACTTAAGAAGAGTACATCCCATCTCTACAATGGTTAAGGTAAGCAGCCCTAAACCCTTTCTCCCTACCCCAGGCCCTCAATTTTTCTGCCATAATAAAAATGAAACCTGGAAGGTAACTTTCTAGGTTAAAACCTATTTCCAGAAATTCCAGAACCTTACACTTACTTAAGCTTTACTGATAGAAGAGCCTATGAAACAGAAAGAGATCTAGAAGACTTAGCCTGTCCTTCTGTGCTTTTCAGGGCATGCATGGAATAAAAGACGATGTCTTCCTAAGTGTTCCTTGTGTACTGGGCAGCCATGGCATCACTGATGTAATAAAGATGACCCTAAAACCTGAGGAAGAGGACAAGTTACGGAAGAGTGCAGAGACACTCTGGGGAATCCAGAAGGAACTACAATTCTAGATTTGGCCAAGCAGTTCACTGTTTGCAGTTTAATGGATTTAGTGGTTTGTCTTACGTTGCACTTTCCAAGTACGTCAAAGCCTCCAATGTATGCCTCTCAACTAGAGCACAAATTAAAACCTGAACAAATCAGTTTCCTGAAGCTAGTGCTAGGAAACTACTCTAGGGTTTTCCCTGTTCACAAATACCCATGATCCTAACCAGAGCTACGTAACAACCCAATCTTGTATGTGAAGTGGTGTGACGTAAATCCAGCATTCAGAACAGCACTGCCTAGAAAACCCTCTGCCTTTTCCTCACCTGTTTAATATTGGTTCAGAACAACAGGTAACTGGTTATTACACAGTGTGAAGCCAAAGACTTCTCTTGCAGTTAAAGGATTGTCAAACCAACTGACCAATCTTTTCTGCCAGTTGAATAGCTTATATATTTCACTCTTGGTAGGTCCAAATATATTTTCCTAACACTACTTTGGAATTTTTGTGTATACCTTTTTTTAGAGAACCTTATTTTTGTGTACTCTATCAGAGCAGTTGTAAATCTGTCTCCTAAACGTATTATATAAAACCCTAATGTCTCTGTATGCAACAAGACAACAGCTGTCCAACTGTAGCACCAGCTCCAACACCAAATAAACAATGAACTGTTATTTTGGTCTCCTGCTTTTTTTTTGTATATGGTTTGTTCCTCCACCAACCATCTCTACTTTAAGGCATCAATATTTACATCATTCAAAAACATCACCTATTTCCTTACTATCACTAACTCAGACGTCACCCGCGTGCACCTACTCTGCTGTAGGCTCCAATTACTTTGCATAGAGAACTTACACCAGAGATATGAGAGCACGAGGGGCGTTCAATATGCAGGACTTAAATTTGGTCTTCATCGTTATGCCAACAGAGACTGTTCCTTTGCACTATCTTAGCTGAGGGGAGAACCACTTTACACAGCCCAAAGGAGCTGTCTTCCTTACCTTTATGCACAGAGGTACATGTAGGAACAAATTCCCCCTTATCTCGTGCATGACATCCATAAACAGTTGCTGCCAGGGCACAGAAGCAGCTCATCTGGAATTACTGCACTGTTCAGAACAGCAGCTATGCAGAGAAGTTATCACCAAATTATGTCTAAGTACATGCTAGATGGGGAAAAAGAAGAATTAATTACCTTCTCTGTCACCAATATTTAACAAAGAGGCCTTTTTCCTGTATCAGAACATACACTATAGTTTAGGAACATCACTGGATTAAGTCAAAAGTAGACTTCTAAGGTAGGTACTGCTCACAGGAGAATATTTTGTAATTAGTTGTAAGGGGGTGGCAGGGGAGAAGCAACTTAAGTAACGAAGGAAAAGTTGTACTTTACTGTACACCTTCTCTTAGATACATGTGAGTAAAGCTAGCACCTGGAATAAAAGTGTGAATAATATTGACCACAAACAGTTAGGTTTCACACAGCTAACAAAACAAGGGCATGAAGCCATTTCCATCTTCAAAGCTTTCAAAAGATGCGCAGGACTTGATCTTTACTAGACAAAACCCTGACAGGCTTTTCAAGATGAACTCAAAACTTCAAGCTGCAATTGCAACACGAAAAGCCTTAAATGTGCAAGTCTGAGCCAGACTGATTGCTGCTACATGGATGCAACGGGATCAAATCAAGACACCAGGTTCCAAGCTCGCTTTGGTGAGGCAGCTCTCACGTCTTAACCCACACAGGCCATCGGACAAGGACAGCAGCCGGCTGCGGCTCAGTGACACAGCGGCGCTGTGAGCCACCGTGGCAGGTCACAATGAAAGACACTCACCTGCATGAGCTGCTCTCTTCTACAGACTGTCCCACGTTTAATTGTTTTTTTTATGTTATTTCTCATGGAAAGACGTCTATACACTCTGATCATTGCTGGATGGTAGGGCAAGCCCAAGATCACTTCAGAAAACCAGAATCCCTAGATGTTAACAGCAAGATCCAACAGGGTCTTGAAATTTTGAGTTTCTGGCTTTTGCTGGCTATAACAAACCTTAGCTGCACTCAAACATAGTTTTTTTTTTTTTTTTTTTCTGATTTCGGACACTGAAATATTTTCCAGGGCTCAGAAGTAAAATAAAGGCCTGGTTAAACTACCACTGCATAAACTGGGCCTGTTTGTAAGGACATTGCACTGTACACATCTCTGTAGAGGAAGAAAATATGCAACAAGTTTTATTCAGCGTTAAGTCCACCAGCACAAAGATTACAGGAAATAGAAAGTGCATTAATAAAAGCTAGTCTTTACCAAAAAGAAAATATATTATTGATTCAAAATATCTTACACTTGAGTGATGTAATAACTTATTCTGGGCATCTACTGATTAAGAGAAAGATCAAGAGAGTGGCTGTTTCAAAAGGAAATCTAACTCCTCCGTTCAAGTCTGAGAATTCAGTAGAGGTCACTGAGTCCAGCAGTCTTCCTTGCTTTCTGCATTAACGCCCTCAGCTGGAACTGCTTGCGAGACAGAAGACGTACATGCTGCAGAAAAAAAAACCAACTACTTAAAAAAACACAGTTACCAACTGTAAACGCTACGAAATGACAATATTTATACAGCAATACAAATTTTGAAAGTATGACACATGGTATGATCCAAACAGATTTTTAAGTCACTAAATGCATTCTTCTTGGCTTAGGATAACTTGCAAGTGGCTACCAAATGCAATGATTATATAATTTTTAGTGATTTTAATAATTAGCTCTTAACATATTCTTAACAAAGTGAAACAAAACAAAAAAACTCCATGTACTTCATGCACTTCCTGTGGGAGGCAAAACAGTTCTTTTAACAGCAATAAATTTAACCAATGAGCTACATAACTAAGTAATACACCTCAGTGCACTGCACTCCAGCCATTAAAAGCAAAGTTTGAGTAGAAAATTTTGTGGAAATGGAACTATTAGGAAAAGGAACAAGTGGTAACACTTGTTACCAGGTGGCCCCAGTGCAGACTGTGATATTTGTGAACACTATTCTTTCCAAAATACAAAGCTTAATTACGAGTTCATAAATATTTTTAGTATTTTCAAAATAGCTGCAGATCTGTATTCTATGTCCCTAGTGCACAGCACAGGAAATACAACTTTCAAAATAAAGCCTTTATTGCATACGTAGTTATATTAGATAGTTAAGCAATTAAGAATTTGATATTATTAGATAACTAGCTAAAGTATTAGAAATTCATATAATTATTAGACCTGACATTATGAAAACTTTCAGCAATAAGAACAGCGAAGAAATGGAGTAAATGGTCTAGGAAGACCCCTGCTAGACACAGAACTAGCTGCCTTCTCAAGGGCTCTCTCAGCCTTATTTCTTTCCTGCAATCCTAATGCTCTCAACCTACCACATCAGCAGCAGCATCCACGGCCTGCAAGGGGAAAGCTGACTGAATACTCCAGTCACTCCTCAAGTTAGTTCCTCCAAAATCGGGATGCACATCTGAAGGAAAGCTCATGCTGACACTGTTGCACTTGTCTAATAATAAATGACTTCATGTCAGTGACACTTTGGAATTGATCCTTTATCTTAATTCTGGAATTCTTTTAAAATTTGTGTTCCAACATACAAATACTTCTATACTTACAAGTTCTACTTCAATGAAGAAAGCACTGGGATTTAGCTGAACACAGGAGTTGAGGCATTTAAAATATGCATTTTAAATAGCTTGAAGAAGCCTACCTTTAAAAAGACATCTAGATCTATCACTCCCCGTCTCAGTGCTTCCCCAAGGTAAAAGATGGTGTCTTCAGTGGCATTTTCCTCGGCATATAAGTTCAGGATCTGCTTGTAAAGTGGTGCCGTAGGAATGATCACTTCATCTATGTCATTATTTTCTGACTGACTTTCCATTTTTTCTAACGCAGAACTGAGCTCTTCATCCTTCTTCTTGAGGATCTCAATGCTCTTGTCGACTTCAGCCTGTAAACATTTAAGATGTTTATTTCCTAGTTCTTAAGAGCTGTTCTTCTAGTATGGATATTTGTAGGAGACAGAAAGAGGACAATATCTTTTAGCGTAACTGCTATTTCCAACTTGCTTTCTGTCTGCACACGCACCTCAACCTAGAAAGAGAATACATTATTTGAAAGCCAAGTGCTGAAAGCTTTGGTACGTGTAGCATGCTGAAGAGGAACTGATCCCATACTTCTGTTCCCTACCAGAAATGCACAAATATAGGGCTTTATTTGATCCCAGCTTACCACTTCCTGGTCCAGGCGAGTTACCATCTCTTCCAGCTTCTGGTGTCCTTTCTTCAGGTCCTCCTCTGTCCGCTTCAAGGCGTTGAGCTCAGCTTGCGCACGATCCATTTCTTCTTTCATTCGCCATCTCAGCTTGTCACTGACAGCCGAAATGAGCGAGGCTCGGATGGTGTCCTCACTGATGGTTCCATCTCGACTGGGGCCTGGACAAGAAAATTCACAAAACAATTAACTGCCTGCCCTGTCTTTGATACAGGCCTGTTCGGGGGGCGGGGGGGGAAACGGGGGCTAAATTCATCTATTACCCCATTCATTCTCTTTATTATCTGTAGGTATCCTAATTTTGAGGTTTACTGACTATGCTGATCATTAAGACAAATAAAAATAAATGTACACTATCAGAGCTAACAAAATAATGTCAATAAAAAAAGAGAAATTAACACTCATAATCCTTTTACATTTTTGAAAATGTAAGAACAGGATTAAATAACTAAAAGACTCATCTACGCTTCCCAAGTGGTTTCACCATGATCATTCAGCCAACTTGAGGCAAGTTATGGGAGGGCAGGGAAAAACAACAACGATAAAAAAGCTAATATAGAATATTTATCACTTTATTCAAGCAGCCTTCCTTTAAATAAAGGCTGCTTACTAAGATCATATGGCTAAGAAACATTAATCAATTGCTATTAGTATATAGTTTATATACATGTTCTAGCAGACTAAATCAGCTACCACATTTTTTATAGGTATAAACTCAGCGTTACATTTTTAACCTTTTAAAATATGGTATCTCAACTTGGGAGAAGATCAGACGAACAGCAGTCTATAAAGTAAGCTAAAGGCACCTATGAACAGTCTGCAACTATTCTTCCTAAAATGCTTGTTGCAAGTTAACTTAGTCAAGAACACAGATTCTTTTATTTGTTACATCAACTGACTCTTAAAAAAAAAAAAAAAAAAAAAGCTGACAACAGCTTTTTAAGTAACAATAATAAAAACATGATTGCACACATGCTAATTTGCAGGTTTTACTTGCTTCATCACACCCAAAACACTTAATAGTGATACAAATGCCTCCATTTGGTCCGATTTAAATTTCTGCAGCCATTCACTCTGTCGCCAGTAAACAGGACCCTTCGCAATTTTTTCATCCATTGCATTTTATATATAGATATTTAATCATCTATTAGAACTAACAACAAAAGTTGTCAAATGGTACCACACATAAAACCAGAAATTTATCCTCACTATTTCTATGAGGGAAAATTGGATACTGCTTCCTACACTGAGGAGTAAAACTTAACCTAGTCAACCTTAAACCACCAGGGATGAGGAGCTTATTCACTGTCTAGAACTTCTTATATAAAGCTGTAACTAGATAGTAAATATTCATGTTCCTAGCTAAAAAT